AAATGTGTACTCAGGACATGACTCGCACCTTTCCACCTTCTCTGTGTATTGTGTAGTCAGGCGTTGTGCTTTCCCGTTAATTAACTGGCTGCTTTCGGGGTGAATGGCGACTGGGTGAATTCCTGCAGTGCAACAGCACGGTGCACTGCAAACACCGACCATCGATGTGAACGCTAAATGCCAAACAGCGAGCTTTCTACCGTACACCAATAGTTTGAAAATGAAGATGAGATGAGTAAAGCATATATACGTCCACAACAATGTACTTCCAAAGAGTATGTGTTCTACAAAGAAAAGCAAATGTGTAGATACCATATATATGTATATAGGTAATATAGATGTATATACATATATAGGTAACGCAGGAATAGTTTCCTTAACTATTCATCTCCTCGATATATTTTAAAATAAACCCAAGGATTTGTTGTTGGGTTTATTTTCGAGAACTTGTCCACCATTTAGCCCCCGATGATTTCCACGTGGGTAAGCAGCCGTACTGCGGGCGTGCGGTCCTGGCTGTGTCTCCGCGGTTGCCGAGCCCGGCCCGTGTGCTGCCCACCGAGCAGCTCGGAGCCGCAGCCCTGGCTCCGCGCTGCAGCGGGACAAGGATGTGAGAAACGTCCCGGCGAGGCAGGCGAGGGCTCCCGCGGCTGGCCCCGGGAACAGCCTCCGGCTCGACCGGCTCGGCGGAGCAGCCCCGCGCCCTCCGCCCCCGCGGGAGCATTAACACCTATTCTCCTGCGAAAACACCTGTTAAGCTTTAAAGTTACTCGACCGCCCTTCCGCCATGGGGAAAACAAAATTAGAGCATCACCACAGCACGCTTCAGTCTGGCAGGGGAAAAAAGTATCCCAAAAGCATAAGTAATATACTGGAAGAAACCCCACCAACAGGCGAGGCACTGCCTGCGCGCACCGCGCCCCAGCCTTCCGCCCCTCACGGCGGAACACCGAGACATCGTGGCCCGCGGCGCATTTTCCGTGAGAGACCGCGCGCAACAGCTGCTTTCACTCTGCGGCATGCCCACAAACACTATTAATAATAATAGCACCACCGAAAATTACAATAGGAATAACAACAACAGCAATCATAGTGGTAAAAATAGTAATAGCAATACTAAAAGGAAGAAGTAGGGTTTTCGAGGGACAGGTGACGAAGAGGGACCGGAGTTCAGGGGAGCCGGTGCCGTTCCGCATATCGCAGAGTACCGGCGACCAGCCCGAGGGGAACTGAGTGCTTACCAGTTCGCGGCATTGCCCGCCTGCGGAGAAGCCCGGGGAGGGTTGCTGTAATCCATTTTGCACCCGCGTAGCAATCCGTGTGCCCGAGGAGATAGCGGCAGCGGGGGCATCGAGCGATGGGAGAAGAGCGAGGGGCTGCAGGCGGCGCGGCGGCGGACGCGGGTCTCCGCGCATCCCTCCGTGGGCGCGGGAGAGCAGGCGGCGCGGGGCCGGGAAAGTGTCAGTGCAGTGGCGACGGGACCGGCCGCGGGTTTAGGGGAGCGGGGCACAAACATGAGGGCGACTGCCATACACCTCAGCCTAGACAAAGGTTAGAAAAAGAGGGGCTGAGGCTCTCTGAAGGCAGAATGCAGGGGGAAATTCGCCAGGGAAATCAGGAAAAGGCCATGAAAGCGCTCGCTGCCTGCACATGACCAGCCACAGCCAATGACGAGCCCAAATAGGTCATAAAAAGGTCTATTACCAAGTTGTAAATTTTCTTCAAACAAAAAGGAATTTACTGCAATTCCTTGCGGATTTTGCACATACTGCTTCCCAGCGCCATGTTTCTTTCGCCTGCGCGCTGCGCTTTTACTGAGGCTTCGGTCCCGCCTGCCCCCGGCCTGCGCGCCACGGGCGCGGTGGCGGAACCCCGTGAGCGCGGCCGGGACGCGGGAGATCCGCGCGGGCGCGGAGAGAGGGGCAAGCGGTCGCGGCACCGCATAAAGAGGGGCAGGGCACTGTGCCGAAGGATCCGTTTCTTGCCAAACGAAAGGGGGCTTAACCCGCATCCCCACCCTCTTCTCCCACCCCTCCCCACCGCTCCGCCGGGCACTAAAAGAAATCACATCTGCTTTAGCGCCCACTACTGAAGCGGAAGCCGTCGCCGACATAAAAATTGTCCGAGCCTCTTCCCCACCCCGCAGTGTGCGGTTCCCGCAGGTTGCGCCGGGCACTGTCACCGCGCCCAGTGCAGGCTGCCTCCGCCCCTGATAAAACCTTCCCGGGGCACCAACACCGAAAATCCTACTCTTAGAAAGTATTCTAAAAAACATTTAAATGGGCCTGTGTCCACAAGGAATACTCGGCTCGGAGACGGAGTACTATGGATGTTTCTTGCTCAAGTTTTGTTTCAGGGAAAAGCCAGAGCCCTCAATCCGTGACCTCCGTGCTGACTGTAACTGCTAACAAAAGTAAACACACCTAAAGATGTAAGATCGATTTCGGATCTTTTCAACACGCTGCTTCAGGCAGTTGCACACCTTTGAATATTGCCTCGGCGGAGGCTATGGCAACTTTCGTGGTGTCTCTGCGCTGAGCTGCTCCTCAAGGGAACGGAGAAATTCCGCGGAAACCAAAGGCGCGGTCAATTCATTCTGCGGCCTCTCGCAGCCGCTCCCACCGCAACCCGCGCGGCTACGGCTTTTCCTTGCCAGAAGTCCTATGGCTCTGATTTTACAGGGGACTCGGTGGCCTCCTGGGTCAATTTTTGACTCAGTTTTCTTTTTTCTTAGCAAGTTTCCAAGTGAGACCGAGGGAGAGATTCAGATGCCAGGCTACGGGGGTAAATACCTTAACAACTACGGCGATGTTTTGTTTTTGTTAATGAGTAAGACAGGGGCTATTCCAGTTACCACTAGGCCCTCGCCAATTTTGTGCGCTCAGGGAAGGCAGTTCTTGCCTGCGTGGCTGCGTTCCCAGTCAGTCCTAGGAGAGCGACGCTAACGGAAACTTCTTCAGGAATATTTTAATTTTATTCTTTGTCTGATAATTAAAAACAACTACCACAGCGGCGCAGCAGCTCTTTTTCCGGACAAATACTAGCCTAAGGAGTGCTCCGCTGGTGTGTGAAGGTCGTCGATGTGCCTTAGCCTCGCAGGCAGCCCGGGATGGCAGCGGGCAGCACCAGCACGGCTTTCCCCGCAGCAGGGCCGCCGGAACCGAGCTGCGTCCAGCCTCCGCCGCTAACGCAGCAAAAGCGAGAGGCTTTTTCTGCCCGGAGACCACGTATATCGGTCCCATTAGCATGATTGTTGTTTTCAAAAGCGACGGGTTTTGCGCGTCGGGCCATTGGGTTACTTTAAAACGCGCAGCCAGCAGCCCCACATCCTCCCTTGACACTAGGGATATCAGTGTATTTATGCAAATCCATGCAGCAAAAATGTTTACTTCACTGCTTTGTTGCAGCTTCCCCTTGTTTACAACCTTTAGCCAACTAGGCGATTAAAATAAAACCCAGAACAATAGCTCCGCTTGCTAGTGCCTCCCTCCAGAACTGGCGCTGGAAACAGAGCTGGAGCTGTGGAAACATGCCTGCCTCGGTGGTGGGGAGCGGGGAAGAGGAAGGGAAACGAAATGAACCAAACCCGTCCTACGAGTCCCATCCCCGTGGACGGCAGTTCTCGCCGCGCCGGGTGTATTCCCGAGAGAGAAGCGGTGGATGCGGGAGAAGGGCCCAGCAGCGGGAGGGCAGAGCGGCGGCCGGCACCTCCCTGGAAACCTGGCTGGGATTTTCCGAGCAAGGCCTCGGCTCAGCCCCGGCCTCTTCGGGATCACTCTCATTTCTGGGCAGATAAAAGAATTATATGTCGTTTTTGTCGCAGTTTCTGGCTCGTCCATTCGATTTCCTTCACGGAGCCATTACTCAGGGGAGAGTCAGCCGGTAGGGAAAAAATGATGCAAAAATCTTGGTAGGGATTTGTACCTCATCCCTCTACCCTCTGCTTGCTACTCCTAAAAAGGACTGCTCTCGACCGTCCGGTTTGATACCGCGCTCTGCAGGACCGCACCGCGGAGCGGGAGCAAGAGGAGGGAAGGGAGAGGGAGAGAGAAATTAAATTGTTTTGCTAATCACGGGACCTTTCCTCCCGTGCTTGCGGGAACCGTGAGGCAGGCTCTGTCTTTACCAGCTGCGGCCTCCACTGGGAAACGCATCATACGATAATATTTAGGGGTAGAAACATCTTCCTCTCGGTCTACGCATGGTTTGGGACTCCTAAGAATTACAGCCCTCGAGAAACCCCCACGCAAGGTCGCAAAAGCTTTGTATTTCTCTGCTTGTCAGCCATCCTCGGGGGAGGCTGAGTCCGTTTTGGCCGTAGTTCGCGTGGCAGGACTGGAAGCTCCGCACCGGTTGGAGCAGCCCTTGGGGATGGCGTGGGGCCGGAATTCTCTCCCGGCTCGTCTCCCTGCAGCCGGGCTGGCAGCAAATGGCTCCGTAGGATTAGGGCCGTGTTTGCCGGCAACGGTCCCCTGCACGATCGGCCCGCAGCCCGTGCTGGAGGGCAGGAGAAGGCGAAAGCAAGGCCCAAGGCACACATCGGGGGCTCCCCGGGCCGGCCCGCAGCCTGCCCTCCCCTCGCAGGTGGGGCCGCTGTCCCCGCTGCCCACTGCTTGGCCCACGGCCCCGCAGCGCTCGTGGCAGGATGCAAAAAGCAGGTTTTGTACACAATGTGCCGTTCGCAGAACCCACAGAAACACTCAGCATCGGAGGAGAGACGGAGGGAGGACGCAGGGGAGAGTTAGTCCGAACCAGAGGAAACTCTGAAGGTTTCTTGAGGGGTAGATTACAAAAAGGATATAGGGATGCCGATACATTTTGTAATTTAATAAATTCGGTTTATTTTAATCAAATATTATAGAAGAAGGTTAAATATATTTCTATGTTATTTTCTTCAAGATTAATAAATTTATTTAATTTATTCAACATAAGATAAGAACAAGAATTAAAATAGTATAAGAAAATAGTATAAGTGCACTTGTGTGATTAATAAAGCGTTGTTAAATGTCTTACTTATTGATATTTATTATTAGGAAGTTTATGTCGTTTCCCACAATCACCGTCTTTTAAGATTGCAAATATATATATATATATATATATATAACTAAAAATTTATTCCTACAAACTCTGTATCACACTTGAAAAAATTAGTAGATGAAATGTTAAATCTAGAGATCGTTCTGAATACGCTTATAAACAAAATAAAAGCACAAACAAGTGAAGCACCCGAAGCAGGGAAATGTTAAACGGAGGGACATGGGGTCACTCGTCCCACGACAAGATTATGAAGAAGAGTGGATGAGCCGAGATGTCGGGCTTCAGCTCTGGTTATTTTTGATTGACTTTTACAAAGACATTTGGGGCAAAAATTAATTCGTCTGGCCTCCGGCTGTGTCTTCTTCCAGATCATGTGCTTCCTTTTTGGCCTCCCCTTCCTTTCCCTCCTGTCTGGAAGCGGGGAATTTGTCCTTGTTGTTCTCTTTTTTCCATTTCATCCTCCTGTTCTGAAACCAGATCTTTACCTGCCTCTCGGTGAGTCCTAGTGCGTGGGACACCTCGATCCTTCTCTTTCTGGTCAGATAGGGGTTAAATAGGAACTCCTTTTCCAGCTCTAGAGTCTGGAATCGGCTGTATGTTTGTCTTCCTCTCCTCCTACCCGGCGCTGCTGTTTAAAACAAAAACATAGGAGTTTGGAGGTTGATGTGGCCCTTCAAAATAAGGTCCAGGCAGGCAGCGCCCCTCCGGAATCCCTCGAGAGAAGCCCCACAGAACCGGAGGGAGAGAAAGCAGAGGGCACAGAGGAGTCTAGAGCTTTACACATGAGTGAGAGGAACACAGCGACAGTAAATGCAAGAAGCGCCTCAGCTGTCCCTCTGCATAGGACGTTGCGGGGTCACTTTATCATCTTGCATACCACCCCCTTCCCGACCCTGCACCCTTCCCGTTCAGGCAGCGGCGACGGGAGATAGGCGAGAGTGTCAGCTGCGCCTCAGAGCCGAAGAGTCGTCTCAAAGGCTACTCTTGGGTTGGTAGCTGCCAGCTGCAGAGGTTTCTGCTTGCTCACTGCATCCATTTATTATCGCAAGCCACCGCGGTGATAGGAATCGCGGTGAGAGAGGTAGGGAGTGGGGGATACACAGGCAGGGAGCGAGAGTCAGCGAGAAAGAAGCAGAAGGAGGAAAAGAAAGTTTCAAACTCAGACGTGAGATGGAAGCAAATTTTTGACTGCGTCCAACCTTGTGGTCTCATCCAGGGAAACATTTGAGCAGGAGACGAGCTCTGATTTAAGTGGTCTGGTTCCTCGCCAATATTAGCACTGGACGATTTACAGTCAGGATATTGTACCAGCTCGGCCTCTTGCTGTGTCGTAAAAATCTGCTGTCTCTGTAAGTTATCGTATCCGTAAAATTTAGCGGGCTCCCCGTGACAGGTAACCCCGCTGCAGGGGGCAGGAGGCGGAGGCGCAGCGGGGGGAGGAGGAGGCGGCTGGTAGGCGGCCGTGGGGCTCCCCCCGGCCGGGTGGTAAAAGTCCGCGGCCGCGCCGCCGCCGCCCCCCGCCCCGCCGGGCGCGGGGTGCGGGAAGCCGGCGGCGGCCCCGCCGTTCCCGTAGAGCAGAGCGGCGGCGGCAGCGGCGGCGGCGGCAGCGGCGTGTCGGCCGCTCACCTCGGGTGCGAAGTGACAGTCGTAGTACGGGGAATTGATGGCTTCCCCCGCCGCCGCCGCTGCCGCCGCCGCCGCCACCTTGTACTTGGAGTACAGCGGATTGACAAAGTAGGAGCTCATCGGGGAGGGGGCAGCGGCGGGCGGGGGCACGGAGCGCTGCTCACGCCGCCGCCGCCGCCGCCGCCGCCGCCGCCGCCGGTGCCTCTACGCCGCGCTCATGCCGCCGCCGCCGTCGCTGGCCCGTGCGCTCCTGCTCCTGCTCTCCGTGTATGTGGTGACCAGGACTGGATTATAATCGCTCCCAAAATGACCTGCCTCACTGCTTTTACTATTTCCTATTAGGCACACAGCAGCCCGCGCACGCACACACACACACACACACACACACGCTCATGAGCTCAGGGGGGACTTTTGGCTTCAGTTTACATGTGCCGCTCCTCGGGCAAGAAAAAAACTCGGCCCAGCCCTGCCCGGATCCACCCTGGCCGCGGCACCCCCGCTCCCCCCTCCGGTGTGCGCTCGCTAGGAGCCGCTGAAACCCCCGCCGCGCAGGGGCGAGGCGGCCGCGCAGATCCCGCGCGATAACCGCGGGCGCGCTGCCCGGGGCGACGCCGCCCGGATCACCCAGGCTGCACTGCCCGGAGCGAGGCCTGCAGAGCCGGCCGGCAAGGACAGGGCCCCTCAGAGGGAGCCGATGCCCATCGCAGGGTTTCCGGGGTGTAGGCGAGGTGGGGTGCAGTGGGGTGCCCGTAGGACGGCAGCGTGCAGCGGCCGGGCCCCCTTGCCAACAGGCCCTCCGGGTCATTTCCTTCCAGGCCAGCAGACCGCTGGGAAATGAGATGCACATTTACCCTTGACGCCTTGCACGCATGGCTGAGGCTCCAGGTTAATTGATACTTAATGGAAATCATGCCTATGAATATACTTTCCATCATTTCACCCTTGGTGGACGTCATTACCGAGGCAAAGAGAGGGAGGGGGGAGAAAATTAAAATGTGTGGGTGAACGGTTAGCACCGCTCGGGGACTCTGTCCGAAATAAGTAAGCCCTGTTCTCCGGGAGGAAGGAAGGAAGAGAAGCGCTGCCCAGCAGGCTCGGCGCTGCCCCCGCTCGGGCCGGCCACCCCCGCTGGCCCCCGTTCCCCAACAAACGTAGTCGCCAATCCTCTCTTTCCCGCTTCGTCCTGCAGTGGGAATCAGCTTTTCGGAGAGACACCCTCAGGAGCTGGAGTCCGCCCTATTTTGGAGAGAGACGAAAAATGTAGGTGAAATATAATACTGGCCCAGCCAGAGCCACGTGTGACCGTGTGATGTGAATTGACAAAAAATACTTGTGGTTATATAAAAGGCATCTCAGGCTCCTTCCCCATCACACCCCACTCTTCCACCACCCCCACGCCTCCATGCCGATTAACTCGCTTTGTCTCGCTGGCCAGCCCGGCTGCCCCGCATGTGCGCACCCCGAAGGGCCCTGTGCCCGCAATGACACCCTCGCCCGGGCAGAGGCCTCGGGGCGCACGCGTTCAGGAACTCGCGGAGGTTTAGGGACCCCCGTGTAACACATGGAAAGGTGGGGGAGGCGGGAAAGGCGGGAAAGGCCCGGAGACACACACACACGGACAGACAGCAGCAACAGCCCTTCGCCTTCCATCAAGAAGGCAGGAGGCCGGGCCTGGCAGGAGATGAGCGGCTGCACGGAGACACTGCCTCACCCTGCGGAGGGGCACAGAGGGGCAGCGGCTGCTTCTCGCATTCGTGCCGGACACTCTCGGCCCTGCTCCTGTGCATCCTGCCGAGGCGTTAATTTCGCTGTCCAGAGCAGTTCCCCGCGGTGCCAGCGCCGTTCCCCTGCGCCGTTCCCGGTCCCCGCGCGGCCCCGGCCGCGGGCGCGCAGAGCGGGGCGCGGCGGCCGCGCAAGGGTGGAGCGCGGGCGCCCTCTGGCGGCGCGCTGCGGCAGCGACAGGCAGCGCCCTCCGCCCCGAGCTGCCCGCGCTGCCCGCGGCCCTTCGGCCGCGCCGCCGGCCGCCGCCTGGCCAGAAACTCCAACTGCGGGGCCAGTTTTGACCGAATTTTCCTTTGCTTTCTGGTTTTGGGTTGGGTTTCTTATATTTTCTTTTTTTTTTCTTTTTTTCTTTTTTTTTCTCCCCCCCCGGTTAAGTTTTCAGTGCCATTTTCTTAGCACATTTCGGTGACCCTCTTTTATTTTTTTGCCAAAGCTATAATTAACTGCATACAAAGAATGCGCCTCGTTTACACATGGCAGCCAGGAAAGACGCCGGAGCTTTGAAGACGACTGCTATCGCGTTTTCGATCATGTTTCCCCACATATTACACCACGAAATCTCCATGTGTGGTAGTTTCAGAGTTATAAGTTTTTGTATTGAAAATGTTATTTTGTTTGCCCGTGCTTTTATGTATTTATGAATTGATCTATGTAAACGAAAGTAAAGATGAATCTTTGGTCGCCCCCTCCTTCATCACACACGCCTGTGAATAATGCGTGTGCACGAGACTGTGCATATGTGGAAACATATATTAACACAAGCAACGGGTAGGAATTAAATTATTCTATTTGACATTAAAAGTAATTTCCATAGATGAACTGCTTTTCATCGATCGAGATGTTTGTTTTTCTTTCTGCCATTTTGAAATAAATGCACGCAATATTAAAACCAGGTAAACAAAAGGGAAAAAATTGTACAAGGTAAAATGTGTCAATCGGCCTGATATAAAATATTAAAAAGATAGTGTGGGCTTGGTGAAAATTTCTTAACAAAGTCTCTGCTGGAATCAACACGATGCCGTTTTGTGTACAAGAATATTGTTTATGTGTTGTTACTGATCACCCCCTCCCCCCATGGGTATTCGCGAAAATATTGAGGCAAGCATCATAGGATTCATTGCAGTAGAATATCCAATAAAATACATTTCAACAAATAAGCGGACTTCGTAAAATCTCTGTTTCGTGACCTTCAGGTCTTTTTTGAGTCTGTTGCCTTGGCCCAACGCTGACATACTGAAATTTATAGTCCAAGGTTTTAAGACCTAGTTTGTCTGCATTTTTTTGCCTTTTTTTCCCCCCTAACAAACACAAACATCAAAATAAGGTGCTTTCAAAGAAAAGTGCCATAGCATATCGTAAACTCATTAGATCCAGACGTCTAGCCATCTCAATGGTTTTATTATACCATGGTTCTTCCTGTTTTAAAAGAATTATAGGTATCTTCTCGACAATGGATGGGAAGCAATGCAACACCTTTTCCTGGCAGTGCATGCTTTTGCTTTCTTTTTATTTTTTTCTTCTTTTTTTCTTTTTTCTTTTTTTTTTTTTTTTTTTTTTTTTTAACAGAGGTAAAAAACATTAAACACCAGGTCTCTCAGCCCTCCCCTTAATCTTGAATTAACCGAACTGCTCGTAAATATTTACGGGTCCTTCATTTTAATGGTTGCTCTTTAAACAAAGCATTTTTTACAATGAACTTCATCTCAATTATCTTGATAAAGTCATGTGTGTTTATAAATGCAGAAGGCATGAGGCGCGTTGTTAAATGAGCTCTCGCCAACAAAGCCGAACGTTTGGCAGCAGCTCCAGAGCTCCCAGCCTTCCAGTTAAAGAAAGCAGAGGTTAGAAGCAACCCACCAGGAAAAAAAATTTAGGAATAAAACACATGTTTAACGGAATAGGCATCACTGTGTTTCCTTGGCTCCTGAGGACTGGTGTAGGAGTATTTCCTAACCGATCCCAAGGGATCGCTGACGTTTGAAAGAGCGCTGGTACCTGAGGCCCGCGCACGGCGCGGCGGCGGGCGCACCTACCCGGCCTCTCCGCGCTGACCCCTGGCAGCAAATGTGGCTCAGGGAGGCGGGGGAAGGTGCCGGAGGTGCTGCTGGCCGGCAGCTCGGCCGGCCTTTCCCGCAGCCCCGGCCCGGACGCGCTGGGCCCGCGGGGGCTGCGCGGGGGATGCGCGGCAGGGCCGGCGGCGCAGGGCGCATCGCGAGGGGCGCACAGATTTCTGCTCTCACCGCAGCGCTGTCGTTCGGTCACGGCAGACTTTATTGTGGAATAACTGACAACAATTACAACAGGTCCGTAGCTCGAGACACGGAGTGGTTAATTAATACAACAGTCACCGGGGGCAGGGACGGCAGCTAGCCGGGGGACCGGGAGGCGTTAGGCCTATGGCGAGCGGCTCCAAGGATGAGATAACCTCCTAACAGTGCACTAAAGGGGGGGGAAGTAGCTCGTGGCCTCTCTGTGGCATCTATTGCGAAGGATTCAGACCTAGAAAGCAGAAGTTTGGGGAAAGATTTCTTCTCAGTAGGTCGTGGACAGCACAGCAACCCCCATTGATTTAAGCGACTGTAATTTAATATGTATTTTATTACCGTAATTATAATTAATTTCCTTACCTTTATTTTGGCAAAATAACTATCTAGTCTACATCACTTTTAAGAAACATGTCAAACAATTAACATCAGATAGAGTTTTCAAAGCTAACGTGCACTCACAATATTGTCATCTAAATGGTCTGGGAGGGAGGAGGGGAGCATCAAGAGACTCTGAAAAACACGTTGTCGAGCAAGACAAAATTTCCTGCAATACCTGACACAGACCACGTTTCACTTCTACCAAAAAAAAAAAAAAAAAAAAAAAAAAAAAAAAAAAAAAAAAAAA